CCACCTTCGCTATCCTTTGCGCCCTCCTTCCCTTCTGCGCCCACCTTCCCTTCTGCGCCCACCCACTGCGGCCCACTTTCTCCCCCTCTGCGCCCACCTTCCCTACCCTCGGCGCCCACCTTCCCTACCCTCGGCGCCCACCTTCCCTACCCTCGGCGCCCACCTTCCCTCCCCTTCTGTGCCCACCCACTGCGCCGGGAGAAGCAACGATGCGAGTGGAGAAAAAAAAAAAAAAGGCGCATGGTGCGACGCTTGACTTCTACTCTGCTACTCTACTCTACGCCTCTACTCTATGCTGCGACGCACGACTTCAACTGTGCTACTCTACTTGCTCTGCAATGCCTCGCTCAACGGTGTTCACTACTCTACGGTGTGGGAGAGAGGGCGGACGGCACACGTCGGAGATGGGCGCTGAGTCGAGCGTGCACGCACGTGCACGTGAGAGAGAGAGAGAGAGAGAGAGAGAGAGAGAGAGAGAGAGAGAGAGAGAGAGAGAGAGAGAGAGAGAGAGATTGGGTAAAGAGGGGAGCTCGGAAAGGTCATGTAATATACTTGGGCATGGGGGAGGAGGTGAGGGGTCTCGCAACATGCTAACGCTTAGGGAAAGAGGGGAGTTTGGAAGGGTCCTGTCATACACAAGGGAATGAGGGCGGAGGGGGCGAGGGGGGAGCTAGGGGGAGGTTGGGGAATATGAAGAGGGGTCGCAAGATGCTTTCCAGATGAGGGCGGAGGGAAGGGGAGGAGGAGGACGAGGCGGAGGATGAGAATGGCGATGACGTGGAGGGGGGCGATGGACGGGAGGAGGAGGAGGAGGCGGCGGTGGCGGAGGAGGATGGCAATGCGAGAGGAGGAGGGTGATGGCAGAGGAGAAGGAGGAGGAGGAGGCAGCAGAGGGGAAGGACGATGAGCAGAAAAGGAAAACGATGGAAAAAAGTAGAGCAGATGATAGCGGGAGGGGAGGAAGAAGATAAAAGGAGGCGGAGGATGGCGATGCCAGTGGTGGAGGAGGACGAGGAGGCGAAGGAGGCAGCGGGTGGGAAGGGCGACAAAAAAAAAAACATATGGAAAAAGAAAAATAAAGATGATGAAGGCGGGAGGGGCGAGGTGGAGGAGGAGGTGGAGATGAAGATGGCCATGGCAGCGGAGGAGGATGATGGTGATGGACGAGCACGATGAGAAGGGCGATGACGGAGGATGAGGATCAGGATGCTGATGACAAAAAAAGGGGCGATGCTGATGACGAGGAGGAGGGGGATGACGTACGACACGACTACACTTGGCGTACTGTAGTCGGAGGTCGTAGGAGGGACGACGAGTAGGAGGGCCTTTGACGTGTGTTTTTCTTTTTGTTGTGTTTTATTTTTATTTTATTTTTTTTCTGTTTTCTAACTGTGATACAGTACGAGTGACGGGCGAGCAGGAGGAGGGACGACGAGGCGGGAGGAGAGACCATGAGGAGAAGAGAGAGAGAGAGAGAGAGAGCTGGGACGCTGGCCACGAAGTGACACTGACACATGCTGCTGCATTTCTCTTTTGTGTTATGTTTCCAGGAGTCCTCCAAGAGGCTTCGGCATGGTCAGTGTTACGGCTCACATCAAAACACTACTTCAGATGCATGATCAAATTTGGACGGCAAATGCCAGGCAGATAGGATGTCGAATACTCCGGTCATACATTACGAGACCTGCTGAAAACAGTGGCAATTTTACAATTGCACACAACTTATCTCTACTACTCTGAGCAACTCTGAATCACACTGTCTTGCCCCACCAAAATGAGACTTACGCGCGCACACACACGCACACGCACATGCACACACACACACAACACACACACACACACACACACACACACACACACACACACACACACACACACACACACACACACAGATGTAGTTCTTTAGTGGCTGGCTTTTATCGTTAAACGAAGGAAAAGAAAAACAAAGTGGAAAGAATTCCGCCAAGTGTGAAGAATTGCGTATTTTCTGACATCTGAAAGAGAATACTTGGACCATTTCTCGATTTATGCGTGTCATCCTTGCGCAGGGACCATGCTAATCTTCTCTGTATCGTTCCAATTTTAACGGATGTCCCGAAGGACAGAGAATACTTGTTACGCACCAAGAGAGAGAGATGCTGACAAGGTATTAGGTGTGAAATTCTTTCGGACAGAACAGGCCAGTTGCTACTGCAATCAGACTCGTCTTCTTCCTTGTCCAGCATACACGAAAACAGATGGCAATTACCCTGGCGCCAGGCGCCCACACAAAACTCAGAGATATCACCGACAAGAACACAGTTCAGATTCAGATTACTTCAAAAATGGCTATGGCGCCTGTGCACCCTTACATCACCCTTCCGACACTGTATCCTCAACAACTGTTCACATGCACACTACTCTGGATCTCCCTGGATGTCCCACACACGCTCACACCCTTCACATAACTCACTCACATACACGCTGTAGTCTACCTCTCACCTACAGCAGCTATGGCTGCGTTCTACCTCTACCATTAACTAGCGGCTATGGCCGCTTCGTCTCCCTTTCAGCCCACTTCTTCCTCGGGCACCTGCAGACCTCCTTGCACAAGTCGCTTAGGCAGCGCTTCCGCACGGCTCACAGTCTGATTGAATGAATAACTGGACGCAGCCTCTTGATTTATACTTCGGTTGGTCGCTGGTCTGCTTCTTTCCACTGGGCCTAGGGTGCACACAGTCCCACATGGTACTTGCTGACTGGACAAAGTGCGACTGGGACTGGGTACCGCTAGATTGGACTGCCCACTTGCCCACTCCCCTATGGCCTGACTCTGGCGACTCTGGAAAGGCCACTTCCGGACCTTCCGGAAGTCTGTAGACTTGGCCTTTCGGGACTGTAGCAGCTACGACCTTGACCTTTCAGGACTGTAGCAGCTACGACTTCTACACAGTTATGACCCCTACTTGACAGACCTAGGGTTCAAAACCCGACAACTACACAGAGCTACGACAGACAACAGCCAACTACCAAGACACAGGTCACGGGTTCAAACACACAGGGGTCGACTTGCTACTGTACACGGGTGACGACAAGGTCTAGGGATCGAGCCCTGGGATCTGCATCTGCTACTGCAAAGGTGAAAACCGTTTCACTACGCAACTGCACTCATGCCACCACACCCCTCATGCGACATGCTTTTATTTGCAAAATTTCCACGTTTTTTTTGCGGGCGGAACCACAACAAGCTAGTCATTATTTAACTTCGCTCATAAATGGCGAACTTTGATGCGTTTAATGACATCACCATGGTTAAGCAGAGTCACTTAGGTGTGGTGAATTATTGTATCACACAAACGAAATGTGCAACTTTTCTAATGAATGGTTTATGGGCTGTGGTAAACTACAGTCACTGCTGTTAAACACAATCACTCCGACTGGTTAATTTGGGAATCTAATGTTTTTTGTTTTTTCCCCCCCCAATCTATTGTTCTCTTAACTGTGCTTCAAAAGAATATGTTACTAATGAACGATAAGTCTGGTGATTGGTAGTAATGATGGGTATAAATGTCGCTAGTGAACGTGTTAACTTTCCTCTCTCGTGCAGGTTCTACAGACATCAAACCTCTTTGGAAGAGCGAGTTTACCGTACAGATTACCAATCCGAGCCTCAACAAGAACGGCACTCGTAGCAGAGTTTCAAGATCAAAGCATGTAATGCATCGTGAGGACTCTTTGCTCTTCTCTCAAATGAGAGCTGCAACTTCGACAAAACAGAACAACAGCCAAACGCCCTTCACCAGAACCAGATCGACTGCTACTATTTCCTCATCGACAACCGGCACTGATATCTAATTGCTTCTTTCCCAAAGCCAGCCAGCCAGCCAGCGCCGAATACACACACACACACACACACACACACACACACACACGCACACAC